TTATAAACATCTTGGCTTTACCAACCTTTAGAATCGCATTAGCAACGAATAATTACTGTAAGCATTTTGGGGAAGGTCAGGATAGCCAGCTGTCGTTTATTGTCGTATGATACTTCAGCTTTGACTAGAAGGGAATTAGTGGGATGTAGATTTACCATTGTCACATAATGCCTGATGAATTTTTAAATTGAAGGAATTCAACTGAATGACGGAAACCTCTTCGTCAATCTAAAGGTCAAAATTAAGAATACCTCCACATACCTGGACATCTATGGTCTGCAAGCCGTTAAAAATGCACTTGGGGATGTTAGGAATGAACTCTATGGAATATTTTATTGGCTTGACAGAGTAAGGAAGGCGGGTGAAAATCCCTTTTTCAGACATTGAGATGATGGAGCGGAGAGGAGTAGGGGCGATGGAAAAGTGAGCGAATCATATGGCCTGCGCCTAATCATTATAACGACATCAAAGTGCAAAATCTATTACTTCAGCTTAATAAGTGTCTTATAGAGATAAAATAAAATAATTGAAATAATTTACATACTTAACAATAACTATTTTTGTATTCCAGACCCTGAAGCGCGTCGTAAGAAGATCGCATAAACCACAAAAATTGCATTAATTAAGATAAAAAACCTTTATTTGAAACCCAAATACATTTAGATTTTTAAGAGTATTGACGTAGGCAAAGGATCAGCGAGTACATCTCATTTATGGCGGTCTGGAAACTTCACTTCACTGCGTAAGAGCAGAAGGTTTGATTAATCTGTGTCTGGCTTGCGCTATGAGATTCCGACTGACTTATGGGGATTATATGCACACAGCTTACATGAATCTAGAACCTTAATATGTATGATCGCAGAATCATAAGTAGGGAAATTTTAGTCACATCCACTCTATTTACCTGTATCAACTTCACTTAGTTGCAAGCATATAAGATAGCAAAATAAAACATGGAGGGATGTACTAAAACCGCAAAGTCTGGTATGAGAGACAGAAAATATTTCCTCAAGCGAACCTTCTTTGCTCAGTGTTTTGATGAATCTTTTGTAAACGATGGTTTCTGGCTCTGAAAATTTCCAGCAAATAAAGAACGGATAGTTTAGGGAGGTAATAGAGAGAACTGATACTTTATATATACAATTCAATAGTTTGAATTCCAAAGCAAACCTCTAGCTGTTTTAATTGAAGCCGATTCTCGAATCCTGGGAATGCACCACGTCTACGGTCATACTCTGGAATTTATCATGCATACTATGGACTCCGAACTAGGTGTGTCCCTATTAATCTTTTTACCAATATGACCTAGTTGCGAAAACAATGTCAAACAACTTATATACAACGAAAGGAGACTGCGACCTTATAAAAGGCCACTCAAGCTTGGCCTTCATACCTTTAAACAAATTGAGAAAGCAAGATTGACAAACGATGTGTGAATTGCGGCCGGACAGAGAAGACATTTGTAAGTTAATCCTGCAATATGACCTTTAAGAATTGTTGCAAACATTATGGTATCGCTCCCCGGTTTTGCAATCCAAAAATGAAGTGTCATTCGGACATGATTAATTGATATACTTTATCACGCCTATATCCATATATAAGGGGATAGTTACGAGACCGATAGTCTTATACTATTTTAGTTTATAGATATTAGGTTTAGATTAAGAAAGGATCTATGCAGGGTTCTTACTCCGGATGATTTCAAAAACCTCAAGAGTATGATACACCAGAAGTTACAGAGAGCCAGTTATTTGATAATTAAGCGGCATGGCATGAAATTGCTTAGATTTGGGATAATAACATGATGAAAGACCAAGCCAATCCTGGAAATTTTGGTGGTTCTGTATCGAAGGCATCAACTGCTACAAACGACGATAGGGCCAATGTTGTAAACTTATTATCAGTCGCTCTTGATTTTGAAACCATGGATCACCTAAATAAGGGGTTATAGAAGGTGTCAATATATCGGAAAAAGCAACAAAGATCGAGATGGAAATGTGAATAATACTAAGAATTTTGACACATCAAGAGCCAATACGCAGGAATGGATTGACTGGGATACGCAAAAAATTACAAAAGAATGATCAAATTATTCTTAAAGCGGATAAGAGAAAGACGACGGTGGTAGTGGATAAGAAACATGCATTGAAATAATTTAAGGTACCCTCGGCGACCGGAACACTTATCAAATATTAGGG